GTGTTCAATACTTATTTTACCCGCTGTATATTCATTTGTTGAGATTGGATTTGTTTCTGGATGGCACCAGTTCATTTTCATTTTGGCCTCGCTAAACTTTGCATCATCAAATTTAGATTGTTTGCTAAGATTTGATGTTTTATAGCCTCCCCACACAACCACACCTGAAACGAAATGAACTCGTCCTTTGTGAATTAAATTCAACCAAACAGCATTTATCCCTGGAGCGATTGGAAAATGAGTTAAATATCGTGCAAATATCGGTTGTACCAGGACAACATATTTAACAGCCCGCATTAATTGGAATCCTGTGCTTTAGTTTTGTTGAAATGGTCACTAAGGTTCAAAGTAATGCTGTTTTAGTTAAGGCAGGAAATAAGTTTGATTCTAGCGCYCAAGTGCTTTTGATTAGGCTAAAATAGATTTTCAGATTCAAACAATTACCCTAAACAGTTCAATCAAAAACTAATCTAAATCAACCTAACTGAAAAAAAGGGGCTACACAACTTATAACTTTTAATTAGGTTGTAATAGAATCTGCAGCTTCCAGCAACTACCCAAAGGAGTTCAATCAATTATCAAATCTAATTCAACCAAGCTAACATGCAGGTTTGTACAAGAGAATTTTATTTAAGATAAGATTAGGAGAAGTGGAACCAATGATATATMTTTTCCTACTTGGAATTTTAAGTCTCGCATGTCACTCATTTATGACAAAGCAAAAATTTTGTTTTTATAGTTGATTTTTTAACTAATGAAGTCATTCAGGATGTAAATTTATCAACATTTAAGAATAAATTAGATTTTTGTTTTCAGCAAAGTGTGAAAGTTTTGTTACATGTGAAGAAAAAATAGTGATTTGATGGAAATTTGCAACATTTTCAAAACTCGGAATATGTGCATCTTTACTTGTTTTTTTTCTACATCAAAGCTTCTAAATGTTTAGGAGCTGGTGAGAGAAAGTGCTGCAGCTGAGAAAACTGTTGTTCAACCTCTATTGTTTCACAGTTCACCTCATGATGTCGGCAGGTGACAGGTCAGGACTGCAGGAGGGTCTTACTCTTTTACTCCACAGCCTTGATCGGGTAGAAAACACTTCTGCATCGTGTTGATGGAATAAGCAAAGTTTTGTTCCCTGGAAAACAAAATAACCTGGATGCCACTATTGCCAGGTGCCCTAATGCATCACACGAATTGTGTTTCCTTTTTTTTTTTTTGCACAGAAAAAGGCAGCATTCACGATTTTTCAAATCTAGTTTTGATTCATTGTCCACTCAGATATGATCAATGGATTCTCAGAGAAGACGGAGAAAGTCTCTCTTAAACAGTTTTTCTTTGTTTTTTTTTTCTTTTCAAGAATTTTCTACCATCAACTTCAATTTTCTTAATTATTCTGAGAGTGCTTTATAACTTTAGAAAGGTGTTGAATTGACTGAAAGGGTAGCTACTTGCGTATTTTAAATGTGTTCCCCTCTCTTTTATCATTAGCATACTTGGATGCTCAAAAATCTTCAAAATAGCAGATGGTTTATCATTCCCACTGGCAGTCACTTGGCAGGTTACTTTAGTTTAACATCAGAAGGGCTGTAACCATAATGCACTCTCATATAGCGCCCCAACCAAATAACCTCTTACTTTGGTCTAGGAAATGGGGAGTGCGGCGTGGCTTTTGAAAGCGGCTCTCTTTCCATCAGCTTGCCTGATTTGAAATGGCTTGATTGAAACGAGCTTCATTTGAGATTGGCCCCGTGCTGCCTCGCTTACGCATGCAAGCGCAATAGAGCAAAGGGAAACAAAGTGACCGTGAAATATCAGGCTTTTCATCTGCGAGCGCAAACAGGCAC